AGGTCGAGGTGGTGAGTCGGCGCTTGCCGGCCTTGGGGCTGAGGAACCCGGGCAAGGGCGTCCGCGCGCTGTTGAGCCTCTGTCAGCAGCCGGCGCCCCGAAGCCCGCCGCGCCCCGCCCCAGGAGGAGGGCTCTGGGAGGGCGCCCGCGGCTGTTCTCTTGCTCAGTTCTGCGACTTAGAGATCACAGGAGCCATTCAGTTCGGGGGGAGAGTAAAATAACTGTATTTCCGTTCAATCAATTCTGTTTCTTCCACAGAACTTTCGCTAGCTTAAAAAAGGGGCTTTAAGGGATGATGAATCGTATCGAAGGTCTCTAGACCAGATCAGTACAGTAGTAAAGCAGTAACGCTTTGGGTTGCATCTTCATTTTTTTTTTAAGTTGGTTACTACATCCATCTCTCTCTCTCTCTCTCTCTCTCTCTCTCTCTCTCTCTCTCTCCTTAAATGTGTAATTTCCTAAGACCTTATTTCATAGGTCCACGTCTTTTTCTTACCTGTGTAGCAGTAGTAAACTCTCTAGAAGCAGTTGGAGGTTGAACTATAATTTTTTAGAAAGTCAAATCTTTATTGTCAAAAGTATTACATATGCCTTCCTTTCCCCCATGGACCCTTCTAGCCCGCCCCCAGCCCCATCGCAGGCTTTCAGCACCCTGTCGTCTGTGTCCAAGGGTTAGGCATATATGCATACAAGGTGGTTGATCTTGAAATAGAATTTTTAAAGCACAGGTTTTATGAAATCTTTCTCCTTCATTACCAGGCACTGTTATTTTGTCAAAGTGACCGGACTACCCTGTGTCTATAAGTAAAGTCGAGGGTGCAATTCATTGCCCACCCTTACATCGGACTCCCTTATAGTGTACTCCACAGCGGGTATTTAATTGCGGAATATTACAGTCTCATTCAGAGACACCTAGTGCTTCATGTAAATAGTTGAAAGTGAATAATTGCCTCCTGTTGCTAGAATCAACTCATCATTTTTCAAATCGACAGGACTTTGGAAATCTCCCAGCATTGTAAAGCTTATAAAATTGTTAGGTGACAAAAACAAACTCATAACTAGAATTGGATCTCCCCAGGCCTCTCTTTCATGCCTCACTCAAGTATTGCCTGTTTAAAGTCTGATGATGTCTCTCTTAAAACTCCTGTTGTGCCCCTGCCAGGGTGGCTCAGTTGGTTGAGCGTCATCCTGTGCACCAAAAGGTCACCAGTTTGATTCCTCAGCAGGGCACATGCCCAGGTTGTGGTTACGGTCCCCAGTTGGGGTACTTAGATGTTTCTCCCATCCCCTTCCTCTTCATAAAAGCAATAAAAACATTTTAAAAAAGTAACCTCCTATTGCACCAACAGTCAATTGCAGGAGGAAATCCTAATCAAAATTTTATTGTAAACCGCGAATTGAAGACTTATTTTGCACAGGGTGCAGTGCTAGAAACTGGGAGATAAAGTACTGGGAGTACTTGACTTTGATTTACTCACTGTCCTTCTGAGATTAGAAAGGAGAAAAAAAACCACTGCTTACAAGATGGGCTACGATAAGGGCTGTAATAAAAGTGGAAGCAACGAGATGAATTCTGATTACTGGGGCTTGGGAAAGTTTTGCAGAAGAGAGGTACCACAGGACTTGGAAAATCATAGGTGCTCAATGTTTTTTGGATGAATTAAGGGGGTGCTGGTATTGGTCCTGGGCCTTGAAGGGTAGGTATTTGTGCTAAGCATGGAAAGTACCATGGGCTTCTTTCTTACACTCACTTTTTTGTCCCATGACCGGCTACCATCCGACTGTGATGTCCAAATTTGTACCTTTAGCCAGTCTTCTCCTTTAACTTCCTTTTTAAAAAATGATTATTGTTCTATTATTAGTTGTTAATCTCTTATTGTTTTTAATTTAGAATTTAAACTTTATCATAGGTATGTATGCATAGGAAAAAACATGAGTTTTTTTCCATACATTGTTGTCCCATACATTGACTTGGCATCTTGGAATGTATCTTCCTCTTAGATAAGGGCGGACAATCGTATCTTAAAGGTGTGTGTGTGTGTGTGATGGGATATTTGCCCACTGTGGCACACTTTTTTTCATATTATTTCTTTTTTCACTTAAAAAAATGCTGAACAACATTTAGCTTTTTTCCTCCACAGAAATAGTTATGACTCACATCTGACTTTCTAAATCTGCATGACATATTGGTGGAGGGTAGCAAATTGGTGGTCATCAGAAGGAATAGATCTTAGAAGAGCAGTGAGAAACATACTTTTCATCTTATCCAGATAAATGTATAAATCCCTTAACTTCTGACTTGAATCTGTTGTCTACTTTAAATCTTCACTTGGATGTGTTGCAGCATCTCAACCTCAAAATACCTAGACCAGTGGCTCTCAACCTTCCTAATGCTGCGACCCTTTAATACAGTTCCTCATGTTGTGGTGGCCCCCAACCATAAAATTATTTTCATTGCTACTTCATAACTGTAACTTTGCTACTGTTATGAATCATAATGTAAATATCTGATATGCAGGATGTATTTTCATTGTTACAAATTGAACATAATTAAAGCATAGTGATTAATCACAAAAACAATATGTAATTATATATGTGTTTTCCGATGGTCTTAGGCGACCCCTGTGAAAGGGTCGTTCTACCCCCAAAGGGTTGTGACCCACAGGTTGAGAACCGCTGACCTAGACAGTAATTGTCATTGTCGCCCCTAAACCTGCTTTTCTGACAGTGCTCTACAACTCATTTAGTAGTATTCTGCCCCATGCAGAAATCTTAAAGCCTTTGCCTCTCTGCATCCAATATATTATTGAATCCTTTCAATTCTACCTCCTAGTTATCTTTCAGATTTTCATCTATCCCAGTTGTAATCTAAACCATCATTATACCTTGCCTAGCTACTCTCTTAAAGGATCACTCTACCTCTATTGTTGTCCTTCCCTCCTACTCTTTATCCTCCACCCCCTAACCCTCCAAAGTTCATTCTTACCCTGTGGTTAAAGGGAACCTGTAAAGATACAGATCTAATGATGTTCTCAGCTTAAAGTCATTCAAATGGATATCATTGTTCTTAGGATAAATCCAAAATTCTTTTTTTTTTAATTTTTATTTATCCATTTTAAAGAGAGAGGGAGGGAGAGAGAGAGAGAACAATATGTTCCACTTACCTGCATTCATTGGTTGATTCTTGTATGTGCCCTGACTGGGGATCTAACCCGAAACTTTGGTGTATCTGGACGATGCTCTAACCAACTGAGCTCCTCCCTCCCACACCTCCCCCCCCCCCCCCCTCTCTCTCTCTCTCTCTCTCTCTCTCTCTCTCTCTCTCTCTCTCTCTCCCCCTCTCTCCCTCCCTTCCTCCCTCCCTCTCTCCCTCTCTCCCTCTTTAAAACTCCATGGGAAAAGTATCTTCGAGTAAGGATTAACAAAACAAAAATGCCCACAGCACTCTTAACATGGTATAAAACATCTTTCACCATTTAATCTGTTTACCTCTTCAGGCTCACTTACCTTTTTTCACGGGATCCTTCAGCCATACTGAACTTTTAGCTCCTCACAGCTGCCAAGCTCTCTTGCTTTCAAGGCTTTGCACATTGTTCCCCCTTATTGGTAAGCTATCTTCTATCTCTTCTAGACATGTCCTAATCCTTTAGTTCTCACCTTCAAGGTCACCTTCATATCCTAAGACCAGGTAAGATTTCTTAGCTATATAAGGTTTTATAGCAGCCTGTACTTCCTTGTCTTAATAATTGCTTATATATTTGTCTTAATTTTGCTTATAATTATTTTAATAAATGTCAGATTGGCAGCTGTCTAAGTGTGATTACCATGCTGGTCTGATTCACCTCTATTGTCCCAAGCCCCCTATCATAGTTAACTGGTATATAATGGCTTCTGGATAAATTGTTGTTGAAGTCTAAAGCAGAAGCAACATCATTCATTAAAATATTTTGAGCATCTGCTATGTGTTAGACATTGTCTAGCTCTGAGGATACAAGAATGAACAAAGGAGACAAGATTCCTGTTTTCATGGAGTTCGTAATCTTGTGGGAGGCTTGTCCACCCCAGACTAATGAACTGAAATTTAAAAGACAAGTAATTACTCTTGGCAACTCATTACAGCTACATAGTTAGAATGGGAGAAGAGGAATATTCTCTCAAAACACAGGGCATTCTGTTCTCAGAAGAGGACAGAGTTAACGGGACTGATAGAACAATAGTATCTGTCAGAAGGTAGATAAGAAATGTAGCTACCCAACTACTAAAAACAAACCCAACCAAACAAAAAACTTTAAAGCTTAAAACTGTAAAATACTCATACATAAGGACTAAAAGACAAACCTGACAAAATGACTGGCACATCCTATTTGTAATAACTACTAGTATTGAGTAACAGTACTTGATTTTGTTCTTTTTTCCCCATTGTTTTTAAGCAGCTAAAGGGGAACATTGAGCAATTCTTCACCAAATTTGTGGATGAGGGGAAAGCCACTGTTCGGTTAAAGGAACCTCCTGTGGATATCTGCCTAAGTAAGGTACGATATTAAAAACATTAATGTTTAGGTTGATTGGCTATATTTTCTTTAAATTAGAGGCTATTTGAGCCCTAGCTGGTTTGACTCAGTGATTAGAACATCAATGGAGGACTGAAGGGTCAAAGGCACATATCTTGGTTGCAGGCTTAATAACCAGTCTCTGTGGAGGTTCGTGTGGGAGGCAACCAATTGATGTGTCTCTCTCACATCAATGTTTCTCTTTCTGTCTCTCCCCATCCCTTCCACTCCCCCCCCCCCCCAAAAAAAAAATCAATGGAAAAAATATGGTGAGGATTGACCAAAAATAAAAGGCTATTTGAGCATCCTGATATCTCACTTAGCTGAACAGGGCCGGACTCTTGCAGATGTATTAGAAGAAGTGATGGCAGCTTCCCAGGAGTGCTTACCAGTATATTCCTCTAAAAGGGCAGAGGCAGCCTTGGTAAGGCTGCCCAGGATGGGGAGGAAAACTAAGTTTGCTTCTGTATCCAAAATGCAGCCTTCCAGTGTTCTTATACTGGAGCTCTTAAGGAAGGTGGCACAGGCCTATATTTTACCAGCTGAATTATAGGTTATAAGTCTGAGTTGAGTGGGGGGAAAAAAAGGATAAAATGCAATTAGAACCTTGTTGGGGGTATTTTATTATTATAATTATTTTTAAAACTATATAGACCATTAGAACAAAATATAGACTGTTTCTTGGTCCTGTCTCCCCTTTTTTTGTTTTCCCCTTTCCTAGAAGCAATGTCTTATTCATCCTTGCATTATCCTTAACCCCAAGCAAAATGCTTTGCAAACATTAAAAGTTTAATAACTTTTTAAGGTATTTGTGTTGAATGGAATCATTTTGTCCTACCTCCTTCTGTTCTTGTGATGTTTCATTTTCACTTGATGTTCAGCCTATCCTACTAATTCTTTTTTGTTTGTTTTTTTGTTAATCCTCACCCAAAGATATTTTTCCGTTGATTCTTGAGAGAATAGAAGTGAGGGGGAGAGACAGAAAGAGAGAACTATCGTTGTGAGAGAGACACAGGCTTTGGCTGCCTCCCACTTGAGCCCCGACCAGGGGCTGGCATCAAGCCTGCAATCGAGGTACATGCCCTTGACCAGAAACCAACCCGGGACCTTTCAGTCCACAGGCCGACACTCTATCCACTGAGCCAAACTGGCTAGGGCACTAACTCTTTTCTTCTACCTAAGAAACAAGTGAAGTCTTACCTACTTAAAAATTGGATAAACAAATTTCTGGAAAGACAAGATTAAATCTGTTGCCTCCACTTTTCTTAGGATCTGTTTTTACCTTTATTTCCACTGGTGTATTCAAAACACTGCCTCAAAGATCGGTGATCTCCTTTTATTTGCCAAACACATTGCCATTTTTTTCTCACTTTTTTTAGCTCCAGAATTTGACACTAATGACCATTTCCTTCTTAATAAAACTCCTTTCTTGGCATCTGTGACAGGACACTGTCCTGATTTACCGTTAGCCACTCCTTTGTCTCTAATCTCTGACAACCTTTATTCCCGTTTTCTGCCATACCTGCCTTCCATTCCCATAGCTCAACCCGGATTGTATGTAATTTCCAAGTCTGTAAGTTGGTACCGTCTATTGGACTATTTGACCAAGGTCTCCAGATTTTTCTCACTCTACTTCACTGTATACTACTGCCAAAATAATACTAAGCTCTATGTAATTCTCGTGCTCAAATGCTTCAGTGATTGCCCACAGCCTGATCCTTCTGTCCTTACCTTGACATCGAGCTCATCTAGAATCTATCCCCATACTGTATTTCTAATCTTTTACTCCTCTACCAAGCTCCCTCATTCTAACCAAATAGGATTGCATACTTTGTTTCGCACACTTAAAGTTCCCTATTTCTTCACACGTAAACTTTAGAAAACTTGTAAAGTATCCTGCCAAGTGTTCGTTATTTTTATTTATTTATTTTAAATATATATTTTTATTGATTTCAGAGAGGAAGAGAGAGAGAAAGAGATAGACAGACAGAAATATCAATGATGAGAGAGAATCATTGATTAGCTGCCTCCTGTACACCCCACACTGGGGATGGAGCCCTCAACCCAGGCATGTGCCCTTGACCGGAATCAAACCTGGGACCCTTCAGTCTGGAGGCTGACGCTCTATCCACTGAGCCAAACCAGCTAGGGCTTGATGATAGTTCATATACCACTTGATTGGTGATTTCTCTGTTCAGTTGGAAGCAATCTCACTTGATTTTGATACTTCCTTACACTCTTGACAGTGCCATTTAGCCCTGCTTTTGAAAGACAAAGCCATGGCTTTTCACAACTCTTAATCTTTATGAATGGAACCCCCGTACATTTTACAGTGCACAGGGCTGTCTTAGCCTATCGCAGGGGCACTGGAGGTCTGGGTGAGCTCATCTTAAACCCAAATCGCAGGTGGAATTTTTTATGCTTTTCTATTTTATTTTATCCTCTATGGTTCCCCCTTTGAACAGTTTTATTTAGAGTGTGTCTTTCAACATTTAAAAAAAAAAAACCTTAAAGGTTTTGTATCTTTATTGAAATTTAGTCAAAATAGAATACTAAAAAATTATTTTTATAGCCATTTTCAGTAATAATTGCATCATTTGCATATGTAACTCTACAGAATTAGTTATAGGATGAATTAGCATGCATGCATTATCTAAAATGGAATTTATACTTGTACAACTTATTTTTATTTATTCAGGCCAATTCCAGCAGTTTAAAGAGTTTCCTTTCAGCTGTGAGACTGGCTCATAGAGGCTGTGATGTTGAAACACCATTTTCATCTCTCACACCGGTGAAGACTTCAGAATTTGAAAAATTTAAAACTAAAATGGTCATCACATCCAAAAAGGACTATCCTCTAAGCAAGAACTTTCCATATTATCTGGAACATCTTCAGACTTCTTATTGTGGGCTTGTCCGAGTTGATATGCGTATGCTTTGCTTAAAAAACCTTAAAAAATTAGACTTGAGTCACAATCATATAAAAAAGCTACCAGCTACGGTTGGAGACCTCATCCACCTTCAAGAACTCAACCTGAGTAACAATCACTTGGAGTCATTTAATGTGGCATTGTGTCAATCTACACTCCAGAAATCACTTCGGAGTTTGGATCTGAGCAAGAACAAAATTAAGGCACTCCCTGTGCAGTTTTGCCAGCTCCGAGAACTTACAGTTTTAAAACTTGATGATAATGAATTGATTCGATTTCCTATGAAGATAGGACAATTGACAAACCTGCAATTTTTGTCAGCAGCTCGAAATAAGCTCCCATTTTTGCCTAGTGAATTTAAAAATTTGTCCCTTGGGTACTTGGATCTTTTTGGAAATACTTTTGAACAGCCGAAAGTTCTTCCAGTTATAATGCTGCAAACACCATTAACATTATTGGAATCTTCTGCACGAACCATATTACATAATAGGTAAGACTTTGGTAGTCATAAAATGTGGTACTTTTGACAGCATCCTAGTGTTGTCATCATCCTTTGACTACTAGTAAGTATTTAACCATAGCTCTGTGCACAGTCTGACCGCTTGCTGTGGTGGCCTTCTTGCTCCTCCTTACCTCTGCTTGGAATGCTTTTCCTCCAGAAAGTCTCATAGCTTACTTTCTCACTTCATCCAGTTCTCTGCCAAGTGGCACCCCAGAAAGGTCTTTTATGGCCCTGTCTAAAGGTTTATCCTCCACTCCTTACGTTGCCTTTTTTGGGGGGTCATAGGATGTATTACCTGGCATTACTTTTTTTAACATTTGTTTTCTGTCAGTTTTCTCCACTAGACTGTAAGCTCCATGAGGGCGTGGACTTTGTCTTATTTTCCACTGTTTCTCTAGTGTCTAAAATGAGATACCTCCGCTGTTGCCATATATTAGGCACTTAATAAATGCTTGAAAAAATGGCATTATTTTTCAAACTATGATCTGACCAGCAGCATCAATATCACGTAGGAATTTGTTAGAGATGCAAGTCCTTGAACTCCACTCCAGACCTACTGAATTGGAAACTGTTAATAAGTCCTCCTGGTAGTTCTGATGCACTCTAAAGTTTGATAACTCTAAACTGGTATAGTGGTAAAGTGTGGTCTTTGGAGTCAGACTTTAGCAAGTTACTTAATCTCTTTGATTCAGTGTTCCATCTGAAACGGGAAGAGAGTTGTGAAGATAAATGAGCTAATGTAATGCCAAAGCATTTGGCATATAATAGGACTCAATAGCTGTTGATTCTTTTCCCTTTGTACACTAACTGAAGTTAGTTTTGTGAGACAAGGAACTTCAGGTATTCATTCAGTTTTGTTGATGCTGCTTTCATTATTGAGTGACTATAAAATAGTAGCAAGACCATATTTCAAAGAAGAGATTCTTAATTTTTTCAGTTGGGGAGAGACTCTTTAAAACTAAAAAAAAACTGCCCTGGCTGGTGTGGCTCTGTTGGGCATCATCCGGTCCCATGCACTGAAGAGTTGCCAGTTCAATTCTGGGTTGGGCACCTGCCTGGGTTGTGGGCTAGATTCCCGGAGCCCATCTATGTTTTGTTCTCACATTGATGTTTCTCTCTCTCTTCCTCTCTCCCTCCTCCCCCCTCCCTATCCCTTCCCCTCTCTCTAAAAGTAAATTTAAAAAAATTTTAAAAAGAAAATAAAAACAACTGACCAAAATTATGGTCCTAGAAAAATGCACGTGAGTATACACAAAATTTTGCATACAACTTTAAAATGTTCATGAACCCCATTGAAATCCAATCCTCCTTTCTCTCAGTCCATAGCTTAAGAATTCTTATTTTAGAGCAGTGGTTCTCAAACTTTACTTAACATTTGGAATCATCTGAAGAGCTTAAAAATTCTGATGATTAGTTCCCACCCTAGACTTACTAATCAGAATGTCTATAGGTAGAATCCAGTTTTTTTTTTGCTTTGTTTTTAAACCCAGGTGATTCTGTGTACAACTAGCTATGATTAACACTAGATTGCCCAAGGAAGTCATTTTGACTGCTTTTTATTTATTTATTTATTTTTTAAAATATATTTTATTGATTTTTCACAGAGAGGAAGGGAGAGAGATAGTGAGTCAGAAACATCGATGAGAGAGAGACATTGATCAGCTGCCTCCTGCACATCCCCCACTGGGGATGCGCCCGCAACCCAGGTACATGCCCTTG